CCACACCCCTGGACAAGCCACCTGGGCTCCAGTAGTCCCATGACCTGCCCCGGGGGCCCATTCACCCCAGCCTGCCCCACTCCCTCCCTCACTGTGGAGACCCCTTATCTGTTCCCAACTTTCCTCTTCACAGACTGAAACTTGCCTGCCATGCTAGGTAGTGATCCACACACTGGGCTACGAGTGTCTGAGTCTGTGCTTACAGCCCCCCTTCCTTCCACCGCCCCCGCAGCCACTCAGAGCCCATGCCACCCTGTGATCCCATCCTCTCCCCTGCATTTGTGGGGGCTAAGCCCCATTAGCCCCGGCCTGCCACTGCCTGTGAGGAGGAGAGTAACATTAGTTCCACTAGGATTCCGCTAGCACTTTGGTGAATTAGGCTGTACATCAGCCAATAGATATGCTTTGGTCCACATATTCAAAATAGGAAAGAAACACAAGTTTAGGCTATGTGAATCCATTAAGACACAGACTAAGCCTTTAACTCCTTACCCTGGATGGTTCAAGGTGCGTGATGGCAGAGTTATGGCAATTGTAGCTGGCCTCTTCTTGACCACTGAATACATTGTAAAGTTTCAACTGTCCTGTGCAAGTACCCAGCATTAGGAATCGTTCCCGTGCAGAAAACGCACAACAGGTGAAGCCACTTTCATCCTCATTTGCTTCCCGGAACACAGAAATTGGACGGAATCTGGGGGGGAAGGATTATATGGGTGACCAAAAATGAAGAGAAGGAAAGCCAAATAGAACAAGGATGGAGGATAGCAAAGCCTAGATTTGAAATCTCACATAGCTACAAGTTAGCTTTTTTGTTTGTTTGTTTTTAGGGGAATAGAATTATTGGAGAGAACAGCCAATATAGTGATTTGTAACATTCCACATGTCCTGCAAGATGAAATATTTTAATGATAATATCCTACCAGGTTGCAAGATCTGGATTCAATATCCTTTAAGATGGGTGAAAAGGACAAACAAACCTGTATTACAGTCAATTGAAAAAAAAATATGGACAGCTAGTAAGGCTGGGGATAGCTCTGAAAAATGCAAAGCAAGGAAACAAGGCACACTGGTCAAGCACTTTCTTGGAACCATACATTTTCAAAGGTGGCACTGGTTTTACTATCAAAATCCATAGCATCAATACACAAGGGGTCAGATTTGATGATCTGGGGGTCAGACCTAATGATCCGTTTAGGTCCCTTCCAGCCCTAAGCACTATGCTACTATGATACAATCTTTATTATATAACCTGTCATAAGCTTCTCCAGTTTATTCCCCATCTGAAGATGTCATGGGCCTCCAAATAAAAAATACAATATTTATGGGTGCCTATGGGAAAAATGAAATGGGAAATAGACTAAAAATAAATAAATAAATAAAAATCCTCTATTCTTAGCAAAGAGGCCTGAGTCTAAAAGATACATTAAGGCCTGCCATAGCTCAATCACCTGCCTCAACTGTTTCACCCATAAAACAGGAACATCACCACAACTACAAAGCAGAGAGAGAAGTAGGATGCCACATCATTTAAAATACAGACAACATTCTGAAAGCAGAAGGTGCTATATTAAGTGTTGAGTATTAGCAGTAAGAACAATTAAAGGTCAGATGAAAATGCAATGTCTACTAAAACTGTTTTTTCAAACTTCTCCCAGCTGCCACTCAAGAGTCAAAATGTTTTTATCAGGTCAAAGAATTTGGACTGTGGAACCTGAATCCACTTACACAGCAGGAAAGACTTTTTGGAACAGAGAGCACTCCAGCAGTAATCAAAAACATTTTTCTTTCTTACCTGCTGAATATAAGATGTCTATCAAAACAGCCACCATCCACCCCTCCGTACTTCGGAAAGGCTGCCCTGCGGGTCAGCCGTGAGGTAAAGTTAGTTGGCGCCTGGCGCCTCTGTTTTGGCTCAGGACACTGGTGGGGTGTAAAGAGAGAGAAGGGGGGGCAGGTGGCAACAGGGTTCTTGCAGCGGGCATGCTGCTCCCTAAGGTACTCTGTGATTATACTGTCCAGCGTGGGTGGGGAAGGGAGGTGTCTGTCCAGCTGCTTTTTGATAGCTGGGCTCTGGCTGTAGGCGCCGTGGTCCGATTTCTGTCGCAGCACTCTTATTTTCCTGCCATTGCAGGGAGACGGCCTCTCCCTGACAAAGCTAATCCTACCAATCAAAGGGGAGTTGCTGGCATAAGAAGGGCCTGGAAGGGCAAGTGGACCCTGGGAAGCAGATGGCCTTGACGGAGCATGGACAGAGGTGGCAGTAGAACCTACAGTAGTATGGCTACTCAGCCGGGCTGAGATGCCATTAGCTATACGAGGGGTACGAGGCAGAGCCACAGGAGAGGCAGTTGCTGCAACTGGGGTAAAAGCAGAGGAGTGAGACGCTGCTGTCATGGGTAGATCCGCCTCTTTGGTAAGGACAGAAGCAGTTTCTCCCAGCCCCTTAGAGATGAGATGGTTCCGAATCAGAAGGAGCAGCTCCTTCTCAGGAAACGTGATCCTTGACTGGGCCACCACATCTGCTTTCTGTAACCGAGCCAGAGAGACATCTGTGCCAATCAGCAATGGTTTCCCCGAAACACGCTCTATCAGCTCAGCAGCATATTTGCAGAACTTGACATGTTCACTGCGCTTGTCCTGGAGCACGGGCTCTTTCATCAGTTGCTGGATCTGACAGCTGCTAAAGAGAGGTAGCTTGCTGATGATTTGCCGGACGGTACTGCTGCGCGATAGCCCCACCAAGGCCTTACATGCTAATGCTCGAATCTGGTCTGCATCCGTAATTGGCATTTTTATGGACAGCAATGACAGCAGCACTTTGATGCCATTGTTGGACTGCACCACATTCCACATCTTGGCCAGTGTGTGCTCACTGCTCTTGGGGGCATGGGGGAGCTTCCGCCGGGGGGTCCCCGAGATGAATTTGCCAATACTGGAGATACGATTATCTGGGCCACATACACAATTGATGATGATCTGAAGAGCTGATTTCTGAATCTCTGCATCATGGATGAAGAATTCACCCTCAGCAACTCCCAGGATGATGCTAACACCTAATAAGAGAAATGTTTCATTAACACTTTAGCCTGTTCAAGCATCAGATTGTTCATCAGATGCAGAATCTCCTGCAAATCAGGAAGGGAGATATAGTTCACCTTCTTATTCTAGGATCCTCTGCAGTCAACTCATTTCCTCTGACCAACACAGTAATGTCCACCTCTCCAATCACATCATTTTCCTTCACCAGTACCATCCACTGTGGATTGGTCCATGGAACAGTATTACTTAGTAATAGGTTAAGCAATCTCTCAGTGAAAGTGACCATACATGATCCAGGTTTGCAGTCTTGTGAGGCACCTGCCATATGCAGACTGACAGAGGAGCATCTCAAGGGTGGATACTACCAAAAAGCACTCTCCTCAAACAGGATTAAAGTGGAAGATGAGGGGAATATTTTAATGAGTGGACAGCACACTCCACAATGTCCTTAATGACTCAAAGAAAAATTTTGAAATTAGCTCCAGTCAAAAGCTAAGCTCACATAAATTTAATTGCTCTTCAACTCCAACCATCATCTGAGAAAAGGAATGCAGAATATTGTAACAAGCATTCATCCCAGGGGGTGACCACGACACCTCCCCGGTAGCCACTTAGCCCCTGGTCTGCCCTCACTCCTCAGGCTTGCTCCCCTTCATCTTTCCTGCCATGCCTTTTTATTTGTAGATATTTGGATCCCTGATCCTGTGTTGGTATTCTGGAGTCTCTACTTCACTTTATGGGCTTATAAGGTGGCTCCAACCCCCACTTACACCATGCCCATACCTCATAGATGTTGTTATCAATCATATTGATCATCAGCCCTCTTAAGACATGGCCTCAGTCCCTGTGACTGGGCTTCCCTACCCAGGCACTTTGCCTAGCTCAGCTACTCCACAGTGTAGCTTCCAGGCTTGGCTTCTCCACCTGGGTACATCACCTCTTGCAGCTACTCCTGAGTGCAGCATCTCAGCCTGCACTCCACACCCAGGCACTTTGCCTGTGGCCTACTCCCAGGCACTACATCCTCCCTCTCAGGCTCCTATCTTCATTCTGGCTGGCCTTCAGTGCCCTAGCCCTGATCTCTGGGCTCCCTTACCCTATCTACATCCATTTCTGGGTTATGAGCCCTCTGACCCCCTCTAAGTTTCTGGCAGTGGTCCCTGACCTTTGGTCGTCCTTTAACCTGGCCCTGCTTCTAAGCCAGTTGAGACCATGGGCTCCTTGCCCTATCTATGCCCCTCTCTGCACTATGGTCCTCTGATCCCCTTGGTCTCCAGCACTGGTCCCTGACCTTTGGCTTCCCTTGACTATGGCCCCATTCTTAGGCTAAATGAGACCATGGGTATGCTGACCTGACAGGCTCTGGTCTTACTCCCAGCCTTCTCCTTAGTCCCTTACTCAGACCTCCAGAGCAATTTACCCCAGCTCATGCTTTCCAGCATGAGCTGGAGCCCTACCGTTCTGGAGCTCCTCTCTCCGTGGCTCTCAGGGCTAGACTCCCTGACCGGCCCAGGCCCTGGGCTTATACGCTTTAAGCCCAGCCCCCTTCTAGTCAGATGACTCTCTAATTGGCCGCCTGCCACACCTGTAATCTGCTTCTCAGGCTAGTTCCCCTCTTAAAGTGACAGGCATGCTAAGCACCTTGTCACAATATCAACAGAAAGTGTCTACACACAAACAAAATTCCCCTCCTGACTACCACAAACACCCTTCCATGACATGCCAGGATCCATCTAACTTAGATCCGATAACCACCCATGGCCTACTCATTTGCAAGCTGACAGTCCATGGCTTGAGCCAAAGGGAGTGAATGAAAAGGCACATACAGTAATCGTTCATTTTAGATGAAAATAATTATTTCCCTCCCATCAACTCCAATGCCATATTCCCATGAAAACTTTAAGATTCTGGGAAGTTGAGGAAACAGTACCGCCCCATTGTGCAAAAGGATTAACACTGGCAATGTACTCAGCATCTTCAGAACATAGAAGAGACAAAGACCCATGACTTCAACAAGTTTAGAACCCAAGTACCATGGCATTCACTGCACAGTACCTTAACTACAGCCTCCTGTCATTTCTCTGGCAGTTACTAATATAACTGTAGCCTTACATTTCATTCCAGGAATGGAATATCTAGGTGAACCTTATCTCAGCTATCGGTATGATTGGTAAGTACATAATAAATCCTCAACTCCGTGCTCAACTTACCCACAGTAGAAACTGTAGATCCTGCTTCATCCAGCACATCCACAGGCTCTGCCAATTGCAACTGGATTTTAGGAACCACAGTAAGAATGGCCAGTACATCTAAAGCATAGCGCACTGTGTCATTCCTGGAAGAGGACCATACCAAAAAATTATTAAAAATGCAAGCATACACAGCATCTGTGATGTCTCATGTTTAGGCAAACTGTACCAAAAATTTCTCTCAATTCACACTGATGCTGCTAAATAGGTGGAAACAAGTTCCTGATGGCACCTCTTGATTTCATATCCAAGTTTTCAACATCTTTATCTTTCCCTCTCAGAGAAAGAATTGTACTCATTGCTAACATGGCCTAGGTCTCCTGCTTTCTGCCCACAAGCTTTTTCCTTCCCAGTATCTAACAAAGGTTTCACAGGTTTCCATGCACAAAAACAAATACAAGAGAGTTTTTCAAGATTCAGCCCACAAAATCATCATGACCCAATTCTACCCAAAGGTCCAAACAATAGATATAATAAGTAATTTCCTCACCACCACTTTTTAAAGAAACAGTGATGACACAGACTTGAAAGTAAAGGAAGAATAATGGAAACAGTGATCCAGTCTTGAATACTGCTCAGTGAGCTAACAGGGGCTAGGAATACCATGGAGACTGGGCAACAACATAAGCCCTGTCAGTTATTTTAGGAGTTCCCTTGGCAGTGTTGACTGGAGTAGATTCCATTTTACATCAGGAAAGTTCTGCCAGGATTGTCACAAAAATTTCTCTTGCTCTCCTTTAACTGCCATCCATCCCAGTGAATATTAAACAAGTCCCTGCTCCGGCTGAGTTAGAACATGGCCTTGAATCTGGGTTTCTCATGTCACACATGTAGCCACTGAACTATTGGCTATTGTGGCACTGGGGGCATCTCTTACAGACCATTAATTCCATCCTGGTCCCAAAACACCTTCCTAACAAAAAGTGCCTCAGAACTTGTTTCTACATGTGATTACAGTCTTAATAAATCAATCAATGTCTTGCAATGGAAAAAAAAAATGTTTTAAATCAGAAAGATCCAACCAGCTCTGAAGGGACCCATTTTGGTACGGTTTTTCCTAAAGCCTAAGGAAATTATTTAGCACTAACCAAAAAGAGGATGAATTCAAAGGCAGGAATCTTTCATTAACACATTTTTTCAAGTTGGTGGTAGAATTTTAACTGAGTTCCCATCATTCTCCTGCTGCAGTGCCTCCCTAAATCAGATGCTGCAAAGTGCCTTTAGGCCTGGGGTAAGGAGAAAGAGACCTCAGCTATTTATTAGAAGATAACTTTGCTCTGGCAGCATAATGACTGCCCAGACAGCAGACAGAACTTAAGAGGGATACCTCCAAATTTAGTTTCTGAACTTCTAAAGCCTGAGAGTGTAGAGCAGTGGTGCTCAGCCTCTGGCCAGCAGGCCATATCCAGCATGCAGAACCATGTCATCTAATCCATGAGACTCCACGCAGGTCCAGAAATTTGGTGGTGGGGGAGCACTAGCAATTAATACTACCACCAGTCCTTACTCACAAATTCCTAAGCCTTGCAGATAGATGACATAGCCCTGTGCACCAGATTGGGTCAGCATATGGGGCCATGGTGGCAGGCCTGATCCAGCATGCATGGGGCAGAACCCAGGGCAGCAAACTCGATCTAGCGTGCTAGATGGACCAATCCCATGCACTGGATCCAGCCCACGAACCAAGCTTACACCACTCATCCAGCCCACAGCCTAAAAGGGTTGGGCACCATTGGACTAAAGAATTTCTTCCAGGGGGCTGAAGTCAGCCTAAACAGAACAAAACAAAACAGGCAGTTCCAAAATTTCTCTATTACAACCGCTTTTTCAACAGCCACATACTTGTACCCACTTAAGGCCTTATATTAATGTAATGCATCTCAAAGCATATGACAAAATACAGCAAAGCAATTTGAGTAGCACCCTGAGCTAGCTAAGTCTACCTCATGAGAGGGAAGACTCACCCCTTTGCAGGGATACAAGAGTATATTTTGATTTTATCCCTCTGCCTCTGCACTGACAGGTTATGTCTTCTAGTTCCCGGTGATATGGCTATTGCTTTCTGCTTTTACCAAAACAAAGAAAGGTAACCAAGTGTTTACTGGATGGAGTGAACAGATTAGAGCTGTAATCAGAAATCTGCTCAACTCCTAATTTGCCAGAGCATTTTGGCTGTCAATAGCCCTTTGGACATTCAGATAATGATATTTTCGGTTTGGTTTCACCACCAACAGTGCATCTTCCCACACATACTAAGTTTGTGACATCTCCTGTCCTCCATACGCATGTCCTTAGATTGTCAGAAGTGTGTTTAATATTAAAATGGAAAACTTCCCATTTTAAAAAGTATCTAATACCCTGGCTACAGCATCTCAACCTAAAGTTGCAGAAGTGTAACAGTACTACATATTATCTGGCATCTCACCTGGCATAATATGTTTTCCAGTTGCAGGCTATGGAGATAAGCTGAAGCATGAGTTGCACACAAGACAGTTTAAGAAAGACTTCTGCTGGCTCCCAGTAAAGTTGTGCTGGACCATATTCTATCAGAAATTCCATCATCTCTACAATCTGCTCATGAGTGTAGGAACATGCCTGTGGATAGAAGAGGCAGGAAGTTTAGGAGAGGTATCACAAGAGTTACACACTTAGAGATCAGGCTTAATACTCTCAGGCAGGGGCTGGCTGCTACCAATCCCCAGCACCCATTCCCCCCACCCTACCCTCCATTGAGCCTGGCCTTGATACAGCTGTGCTCCAGCTGGGAGCTGCACCTGTACAGCAGCCTGGGAGCAGGGGGCTGGGAGAAGCAGCAGTGGCATGCACACAGCTCCCAGCCACATGGCTCTGGTGGAGGAACTTAGTCAGGCTTCTTAGCCCATTTCTACAGACTAGATTACTCCATGATGATGCAAAGACAACTGGTCTGAAAACAAATAGCTGAATCCTATTAGCAGACCCCAAATGTCTCTGGTATTGTTACAAACTTTCCTGTAACTACAAAGTTGAAAAGTCTGTGAAGAAAGTAGATAAATATGGTAAAATTCTGCTGTAGATACTTTTAGCTTGATTTTTTAATGTTAGTAACAAAGGAAGAAATAGCACCTCCCAATTACAAATGAACCAAATGTGCCAATGAAACTGCTAAAACTATTTTCAGTTGCAATATCACATCACAAGGAGGTAACCAACCTGCTTCATATCCCTGTATGGATTCCACTGGCTTTAAGAGACCACTTGATTCCCACTTCTGGGACTGTTGTGTTTTCACAATAAGAAACAGCATCACAAAAGCCTGCTCACCTTGTATGGTGGTTGTGGATGGACCAAGATGCCACCTTCAGTGCGCTGGAGTGACTGCTTCACCTGTTCCAGTTTGATGGCAAGGTGAGCCTCAAAGTACCTGCGCAGGGCCATGCAGGTGTGCTTGCCTGTCTGTCGGCTGGCAAAGATTTCATCATCACTTAGCAGGGCCCCCTGGTCTTCTAGGTTTAAGATCTCTAGAGTGCTGATCTACATAAACAAGTCAAGAAATGGGAAACACCTTTTTTCACTGGGTTCATAATTCACAGGAACTAAGACGCCAACAGCTTCTAACAACATTTGTACAGAGAAACCTTACTAAAATGGAGATGAACTCACTATTGAATGCAATAGAAACTATCACAGCTGAAACTGGATAACTGGGTCTCTTAGGTATTAAATAGAATTATACTTCGCAAATACAGAGGTCTGATAGAGTAAGCAGCACATATTTTCTGGGAAGAGGAGTTCCCTCTCACCTCCATTACTTATAAAAGCAAATACAAATATAGAAGCCAAATCAGTGCAACTCTGAAAAAAGTATTTCTACTGCAGTCATCTCGTCATTCAAGATCACTGTGGTAGAACATACGTGTTAAGTGAAAGGCTTGAGAAGTGAATCAAAGTTACAGGCAATACCTACTGCCAAACTATACAGCACTTCATTTAGGGCACTTTGTCTCTAGACTTAAGGAAAGTAAGTAAAAGGACCTTCAAATATGTGAAGGAGTTAAAAAAGATAGGGAGGGAGGTTTGTAAAATCTACCCTTTGTCCGCTCTAAGTGGAGGGAGAAGGCAAGAAAAGGAACACTTCCCAGCTAAACAGAGGAGCTTTAGAATTAGACATTAAAATCATTATTCAGGATATAGGTGGCTGCAAGCCTTACCAAGTTAACCAGGCGACGAAGGCCATCATGCCTGTCAAAGAGCTCCAGGACAGCACGGAAGGAGAAGCAAATGGAGAAGAACATGGTAGCATGACAGCAACCTGATGCATGGGAGCACTCCATCAACCACAGGGTGTAGTTCACCACGTCTGAGAGCACATTATGGGGATGCATGCACACCTACAAAGCAAAAGGACAATCCTGATATTAGGCAGCCAAAACACAGTTCCATCAACTTACTAGCTATGTAAAAATGAAGTCAATAACTTTTGTCCTGAATAGCAGCAATATAAACCCTGAAATCAGAAAGGAGCTCAACTTCAGAAAGTAAAATGGTAGCAGGAACTTGCATGAATAAGTAGGGGTGCACTGGTAGGGATTTTTTGGGCCAATACCAATGGCTGATTATTAACCAGCCATATCGGCCAATACCGATCCAGTTGCTGATATGCAGCATGGCAGCTTGAAAAGCAGCATCCGGCTGTTACGTTTATTGTGGGGAAGGGACAGATTGAGGCCCCCATGGTAAGAGTGGGGCTGGGGCCGGGGCCGGGCTATGCTCAGGGCAGGTGGGGGTGGGGCAGGCAGTGGCAGCACTGGGGAGGGCTATGGGGGGGCTACAGCCACCCCAAAATTTGCCATAGCCCCCCCCCG